CGTCTGAATAAGAAAAAAATCGTTACCGAAACATCTTTCGTATTTCTTAGGGACAGAAAACAGGGATTGTGAGTATTTAATAAAAATTATTTATTAAATTAATTATAAATCTCAAATTATATTTTTTTTTTATCATTCATGTAAAACGACATAAATGTGAATATATATATATATATATATATATATTTGTATTTAATATATATATATATATTTTATCATTCATGGATAAAAATTTATTTTTAGATTGTTATAATTTTAGTTTTTTTAATTAACTTTAAATCTGATGAAAAAAAATTTATTTAATGATTTACTCTTTTTTTTACTGAAATGATTAATTACTTTAATTATATATTTTTCCAATTATTTAATTTTCATGTTGTGCATTCTCCTATTAATCGTATATTATATTATATCTAGAAATACTTTTATCCAAATATAAAATAAACAAACATTATATTATATTATATATATAGAAATATTTCTAACCAATTATAAAATAAAATAAAATGAAAAACAAACATCTTAAGTTGACATCATACTTTCACTATGTTAATTAGTATGATAATACATTGCGTACTTTTAAATATCATTACATATTAGTATTTGTTGAGTGTTTTTTATTCATGAATTATACTCAACTTTTAGTACTCTTTTTTAGATAAATTATATATATATATATACACCATATTTTACCCCTAAATTGGAAGAATCAAGTTATATTAAATAGATAAAAGAGTAGCAGAAAAAATTTAATGATTTCCCTCCCTTTTTGCAGAAAATTTGAGAAGACAGAGTTCCACAACCATAATTGTGGTTCTGAAGTTAAAGCTGTGGAAATTTATGGAGAAATCAGGAAGTTAGAAAGTTACAGCTATAGTTATGGTTATGCAACAATAGCTGTGGAAGTCTGGGAAGCAAAAAAATCAAACAGAGACTTGAAGCTAAAGTTGTGAGTCTACAGCTAAAGCCATGGAACACCAAGGATCCAGCAAAAGCAATAAAGAGTCACAGCCATAGTTGTGAAATTCACAGTTACAGCATTGGAGATTCCTTAAGCTTGAAGGATTTCCACTGCTATGGCTGTGAAATCGCAGTTGCAGCGGTGAAGCTTACTTCACCATGAAGAACTCTCCACAGCCATAGCCATGAAACCACAACTGTAGCGGTGAGAGAAAAATCACATTTTGTCCCCTGTTTTGAAGCTAATATAAAAGGGAAAGCAAAGAGAAAACAGGGTATCACGAAACAAACAAAGAAAAACAGGATTGGGACCACGAAGAGGAGAAAATAGAGCAAGAACGAAGATTGGGAAGTTGGATCATTTGGGAACGAAGGTCAACCCCTTTTCTTCATCTTTTACTTTGTGATTTCTTCTTTCACTCCTCTAATCTTGTAATGGCCATGTATGGCTAAACCTTTTGAGGATTGATCTTGGTGTAACTACTAACTTTTCTATTTCTTAAATCTATATATATGTATTTCATCCTCGTTACTTGTGCTTGATTATATTTTTAATGCTTATATCGGCTTGATCACCCGTTGTATGAATTTTTAGTTTTTGAATCCTGTTGGAAAACGTTTTTGAAAACCCGAACTAAATCTTGCACCTAATCATTTCTTATTCTAGGGATAGACTTGATATGGTTAGTCACTGTTGTTCAAGTCATTGTTCTTAATGCAAAGTGTTAATCTCAAAACATAGAAGAATCATGTTTGAGATTAATCACTTTAAGATTCAACTTTGAGGGATCTTGTTGAATTTCTAATTGAGCGTGGAAGTCATGAAGTTGAAATCATATTTATTTTAAGAGAATTTAAGAGTTAGCAAGTGCTCCAGAGTCTAATCCTTGTTTCATATAATTGTTCTTATAACTTTTGCATTATTGTTTCAAATTTACTTCACATTAGTTCACTCTTAATCATATCAACATCTCTTTATTAATCATTAGAGTAAAAATTACTAAATTCTCAAATTCCTGAGGACGATACTATATTTCTACAACGAAACTTAGTCCGCTTGCCAAGTGGAGTGTTATCAAAAACCTCATCAATATTTTCATACAAATCCATTATCAATATCTTAAAATACAGTGATATAATAAAATAAATAATATAAACAAAGTAATAGTTGTAATAAACAGTATAATATAATTTATTTATTTTTTATAAGATGGAAAATATTATTAAGCTTCCAATAAAAATTATTTAAAATAATAACAAAAGATATAAGCATATTATCTAGCACAGAATAAAAAAGAATAATAAAACTCTACCTCATTTAATAATTAGTAAATTTAATAATAATTTGAGAATAGTAACTTATTATGCAAAGTCTCCATTTCACAATATACTTGAAGAAACTAAGAAAATATTAATTAAATATAAAATTCAAATTAAAAATTAAAGCCTTGCATAAATATAAAATTCTACGTTTTTTTATCTATAAAAATTATAATAGAATGTAAATTTAAAACCTTTTGCATATCACCCTAATTCTTTCATCACTGGATCAATCTTAATAGTTAAAATCCTACATAAAATCAAATTAAATGCACAATCTTAATAAAATGTTATTTTTTAAACTAAATAACTAAATAAAGATAAAGTATTTGAAAATAAGAAAAAGTAAAAGTCTGTAAAGAGAATTATAGACAAATTAAACATAAAAATAAAGTCATAAGATTAACCAATTGGGCTACACTCATATTTGAAATAAGAAAGTTGTAGTATGCACACCCTCTGAGAAATTAAGAAATTATTCCCTAATTGTAGGATCACCTCCCTCAGTAACCCGATGATTCACTATCAGTGTTTTCAATGTCACCTACTAACACGGCATAAAAAATTGAAATATAAGCATACCTATTTATTAGAAAATTATAGGCTATATAATTAGACTAGAAAAAGTTACATATTTTCACAAAAATCCTTTTGTACGTCCGGTTGATGAAAATGGTAACATAGTCGACAATACCATTTTATTTTTATAAATAGTCTTCTTCGTTGCCTTTAAATTTTCGGAAGTCAATATTAGTGGGTCACATAGTCACCTATATCATTATCATGTTTTATAAATCGACTATATCATCATCATGTTTTATAAATTCTTATTTCATAAGTTGTTGCAAACAAAACATACAAGCAAAAAGCCACTATTACACACACACCAATTACTTACTAGTGACTCATGAAAATAAATGATTTAATCCTCATCATGCATCCTAAAGGATATTGTGATCAAAATAATATTTGATTTTTTAAAATTATGCTTTACAAAGAGAATATAATGGTATGAATATCTTATCAAAGCCATTATAAAAGTTTTTTAAAAAAAAAAAACTTAAAAGCCATTATATATATTCCTACATATTCTGCATCATTATGCTACTCTACTCTACATGTTCATATTAATGGTAAAGAAGGTGAAGTATGGGACAAAGAGAATATGTATAATGATTTTAGATGCCTAGATGCTTTTGTGATAAGATATACAACGTGTTAGGAATAACTTCAACAAACCACATCAACCATCAAAACCACGTTCAATAACTTCTGAATTACGTGGATTGGATTCGAAATGACGCAAGTAAACATGCACATTTGTAGCCGAAGATGCTAATTACAGTGTTATTTTATTTCTTGATGGGCAGGTACTAGTTACACTTATTGTTCACAAATTTCAGTATACTAATTACAACAACAGTTTCAGGCATTATTAGTAAGCCAGGATTTCCATTTGATAATGATTTGTATCAGAAATTGTTCCGATCTAGAGGAAATCTAGGGTTTATTTTAGATAAGCCATCAAAATCCGAGGATTCAAGAGTGTAATTCGTTCAGTAGGATTCAGAATTTTATAGTTACTTATTCATAGGTCTTATGGACCCGAAAATATCGGAATTTTTTAAGGTGATTTTAATATGGTAATATTTGGTTATTAAAGATAAGATTTTATTCCAAATATGACCCTCTATAATCGATTTATTCTAATATCCTTTTAGGGAGGTAGTTTAAATTAAAAAGTCGGCCTACTCTTGATCCTTTGGTATCCCTTCTCAGCTTAGCCAGCCTTCAATATATTCGACCAAAGCCTCTTGGAAAAACCATCTCGAAATTTATCCAAGATGGTACACTTGCCTCCCAAGTCTAAGTCTAGAAGGTGAAAGGGCTTGAGTAATAGTTATGACGCTTGGCATCTCTTAATAGAACCATATCGAAATTTATCTGACTTGGTACACTTCCCCCCCCTCCCCCCAACCCTAAGCCTAGAAAGCAAAGGGGGTTTGATGAAATTGCCATATATCCCTTCCTAAAAACATCATTTTATTATTGTTATTCCAATTTAGATACTAACCATATCCAATTTAATTGATCAATCGCGAGTTTGTCTTTGAGCTATTTATACTTGCCTATTTGAATTTTTATCTATCAATTACGAGTTTGTCTTCGAGTTATTTATACTCGCCTAGTCAGAATTTGACCGATCAATCAAAAGTTTGTCTTCGAGTTATTTATATTCGCCTAGTTAGATTTTTACCGATCAATCATGAGTTTGTCTTCGAGTTATTTATACTCGCTTAGTTAAATTTTAACCGATCAATCACGAATTTGTCTTTGAATTATTTATACTCGTCCAGACAGATTTTAACCCATATTAATCACAAGTTCTTCACAATTTATTGCCTTCGTATTATTTATACTTGCTCGCCATGAGTTCTTCACAATTTATTGTTAAAGAGTTACGAAACCTAACCAATAATGAATAATAGTTAATGAAAAGATAATAATTAAAATAATTATATTTTTATTAACTTAATGGAGAACAAATTTAAATTTTGATTGATAGAAAATTTAAGCAATTATAACGTATTAACAATTTTTTTTAAGACAAAATGTAACGATCCGCCATGATCCTTACACTTTGTTAAATCGCACTAGCAATATAGATCAACTAAGAGAGAGACTATTAAATTGGATAACAACACATATACACATATAGCTAGGAGTAATAATAAAACCAAATCTTTATTTATATAAATAAAGTACTATCTAGGGTTCAAGAGTGTAATTCATCCTCTTAGATCTAGGGTTCAAGATTTTATACTTACTTATTAATGAGTCTTATGGGCCCCAAAAATATCAGGATTTTTTAAGGTAGTTTTAATACCGTAACATTTGGTTATTAAAAATAAGATTTTATTTCAGTTACAACCCTCTATAACAGATTTATTTTGAAAAGGAGGTAATTTATATTAGGAAGTGCCTACTCCGGATCCTTTGGTATCCCTTCTCGCCTCAACCTTCAACGTGTTCGACCAAAGATATCAACCAAAGCTTCCCAGCAAAACCATCTTGAAATTTATCGGGGATGGTACAGATGCTAATGCTCAAGCTTTTCCAACCAGTGTTTCTGTTTGCATTTCTCTCAAAATCTCAATATCATTCACCTTTGTTGTACTTTCTTTCTTGTAAACGTATCCACTTGACACCCACAGAAAGACCCCAAAATTAAGCGCAGAAATCACAAAAAGAAGAGCATAATAGTAATCAAGGTGGCAATCATTCAGGTTGTTGCCAATCCAGCTTTTACCACTTATTTTCCTTGTAAATTTATCTATCGCAGTCACTAGCAAACTGTTAGAATATTTCCCAGCAGCTATGGTGCTAGTGTAGAAGGCTGTGCCAAGGACTTTCATTTCTTCTGGTGACTGATCATAGAAGAATTCTAGCAATCCAGCCATAAGGAATGTGTTTGCAAAGCCAAGTAGAACATGCTGAGGCAAGAGCCAGAATATGCTCATAGGAACTATTTCTTCAGCTCCAACTATGTGTTTCTTCTTTATGACATTCATTCTAAGAATTTCAACAGCATACATAACTGCAGCTGCTATGACTTGGATGGCAACTCCTATGCCAATTCTCTGAAGCATTTTGATTCCTCTGTGGTAGCCGGTTCTTCTACGCATGAATGGCACAAAGTAGTGATCATAAATGGGGAGACAAATAAGCATGGTAGCCACTACAAAACTCCAAAGGGAGGCTGCTGGTATTTTGAAGTTGGGGCCAAGGTTTCTTTCCATTGTTGTACCTTGCTTCACAAACACTGTTACTTCCACTGCCCAGAAGTTGCTTGGAATTATGATTAGTAACCATATTACAAGCATCCCTAAGATAAGCTTGTTTGTCTCTACTTGACTCACTGTGCATGGGGGGTTTGTGGTCCCTTCTTTGCTTTCTTTTATAGCAGCCTTGTCTAAGAACCTTCACACAGATTTGATTTGGCTATTTAATTCAAGGAGTAATACTGAAGAAATTTATCATTTGTCTCTTCATGTATGTACACTAGCACTTCATATAAACAAGCATTTTGTAATTGAAAAAACTTATATGGTGTTTTTTTTTTTCTTATCAAAATTTGATTTTTACTTTTACAAATAACTTGTATCAATCTTCAATTCAATCCTTTGTTATATCGATTATCAACATAAAATTTTAATTTTGATTAGAGAACATCATAAATACTTTAAAAAATTATATATAAATTTTGTTCTTTTGTAAATCTCAAACAAAAATTCAAGTATTTCATGTGCAACCATTTTAGCCGTAATTCTTCAACTGTTTTTTTTTTGTGTTGTTCTTCCATAAAGTTAAAATTTCACCTCAAAAATCAATATTAGCATTCAATGCAAATAGTGATTAAGTCAACTACCAAGATAAAACTCTAATGTTAATTTAAAAACAACACTAAAAGTATTTGAGAAACTTTATCCAAGTTTTATCGTTATCTTAATGCATTGTTTAAGTATTAGAGTCGATTGTTGAGAGAAGAAACTAAAACATCTCCTGACAAGGAATTTGAAAACTAGAACAAGTAAAAGCAAGGGCTGAGTAGAGAGTAGTGAACCTGAAACGAGGAGTGTGATAAATTTGTCGTTTTCCACTATCATTGTAGTGTTCCAACTCCAACTCATGCAGTTCTGAAGGGCTACTAGGAAGCTGAAGCTTTCTATTTCTGAAAGCAACAACCGGGACTCTGAAAAACTCTTCTGCATGGCTCTTTCCCTGTCTGGATTTGTGCCTATATATTGGGACGCCCATAAAGAAGGTAAAAGAGGCAAGCATAAAACCAATTGATGATATGCCATACCCCAGTCCCCATCCAAATCTCTCTTGAATGTACACAACAAACAAAGTGGCTGCCAAAGTGCCACAGGAAGTGTTAAAGGACCACCAGTTGAAGAATGAAACTTTTAGCTCTTTTTCTTTGAGTTTGAAGTCGTCAAATTGGTCAGCACCAAAAGTTGACATATTTGGCTTCAGTACGCCACTGCCAATTGCTATGGTGTATATCGATAAATAGAACAATGTTTGCCTTAAGGATGATGCTTCTCTGCAAATTCCATTTGTACACACTGTTCTGAAGCACCTCAGTGAAGTAGTAATTACCAGAAGCCCCATTCCCTGTTTAAATGAATGTCACTGTATTGAGATTTATGATGTATTGACATTTGATCATAAAGGTTTTATTACATGAAATGAAAAATAATAGGAACACTAGTTGATGTGTCATATAGCCTGCAAAAGTTAACAAAGAAAAAAAAGGTTTTATGATTTTTGAAAGTGCATATCAAGATTGGACAATTCAATTATAGAAGAGTGTTAGCATCAATCTCTAATACTCACTTTCTTACACTATTTGGTTAAAATCAATTAAAAATCATAAATTTTATAGGTCTTATAACTTATTTAATGAGTCTCTTTTTTAATTTATTAGTAAGATTCACTAAAATTTGTAATTTATTTTCAATAATAAAGAGAGTATTAGAAAGACTGTTAGAGTGAGTGTTGCTTACATTATTTTCTTGAAGTATATAACTATACATTCTTAAAAAAAAAAAAAAAAAAAAAAAAAGGTTGAACTCACTATGGCATATATGAGCAAGGCAAAAGTGATTGTCCAGAAGCGACCTAAGAAAGAATCTGCTAAGTAAGCACCAAGTACTGGAGTTATCCATGCAGTGCCTGACCAGTAATTGACACCGGTCACTGATGATACCAAGTCTTTGTGGAGTTCTGATGTCATATAAATCACCAAATTCGCACTTACCCCAAAGTAGGCAAATCTTTCAAATGCTTGGTAAGCTACAAACACAGACATGTGAGTCATAATAGAGAGTGATCATGACTTGTTTGCAAGAAGCATAATGCATCAATACAGTAATAATGTGTAGTTTGTGTTTGTGTTTGTGTTGTGTAATAGCATTCTAACATTTCATTACACCAATGCCAACCTTCTCTTTACTTAAATCAAAAAGGTCACAAGTAAATTACCAAGAATGAAAGCGCAAGCTTTCCGTTTCCCAGTTGAAGAAGAAAGCACGGGGCGTCCACTAAGATCCACTGTGCCATCTAAAGTGTAACCTCGGTCTTCCATGTCTCACTCAAACTAAAGTGGAAGCAAGCAATGAAGAACAAACATGGAACATAGAAGCTATGATAACATGATACAGTGTTGAGTAAATAAATATAGAAATTAAACAACAATGCTCCCCCACATACACCAAAAAGTCAAAATAAAATAAAATAAAAGATATATATTTTACAAGGTAATTCTGTGGAGCATGCAATAGGCAATAGGTGCATTAAAATCGAATTTATTTATTTATTTTTCTTCAATTTGCTTGTGTATTTTATTCTTAAATTCAATGTATAACATTTACGAATTGCAGAAATGGCTAATGGGACACTCTCAAATGCGGTCGTGGCTTGTGTGACTTTTCAGGTGCATTATGGACACTTCGAAGTTGGAACACTCTTGAATATATGAGAAGATTCATAAATTTGTTTAATAGATTAAATTTTATAAATCGTAATTGTTTATATAAACATTTTATTACAACATCTAATTTTTTAATATTGATAAAAACATTTTATTAAATTATTGTGATAAAAAATTTTGACCTAACAATAAATTTTGAGAAAAAGTCATCTGACAATTATTGAATAATATTATGACTATATTTTATTTTATTATTTATATCAAATTTTGTTAAAATTAAATAATTGTAAGTATATAATTATTAAATTATTTTTTTATGTATTTCAAAAATATATATATTTTGTTAATTTTAATGCAAATAAACTAAATAATTTTATATTAATATAAAATGTTGTATATATAAAGAAAACACAACTTTGCATCCAATGAAATTTTTTAGATGATATTATCTGAAAAAGAACTATTGAATAGTATATATTGTGAACAGTTCTAGTTTTAAAAATATGATGATTATAAATTTGAACAATAAAATCATATATAAGATTACAATTAAAAGTTATATTTTAACTTTAACTTTAAATATCATAATTTATATTTATTGATGAATCAATTATTCTCGTCTTTGATCTACTTCATGTGTATACCCATCATTAATACTCTTTTTAACACTCTATTATTTGATTAAGATTTATTCATAAACATTAATAGATTTTATGTCTTATTCAATGAATCCATCTCTTAATTTAGTGGGTAATTAATCTGGCTTGCGTGACAATGCAATATATATACCACATGCCAATTTCCATTCCACGTTTTCCTGAAATGCTAGAAGAAGCTATCTTGTCAAATGAAGTTGGGCTCAGCACCAAAGGTGAAAGTGTTGGGCTTTGTTCCACAAGCTGCATTTGCTATAGAGAAGAGGGATAAACAACATAATTTGTTCTTCCAAGCAGAGATCTTATAGAAAAAGCTTTTCTTCTTTATCACAAGTTTGCTTCTAGCTTTCAAATGAAGTTGGCAGTTAGCACTGTGTGAGCACCACTCTGGTCCGTACGTGTAAAGGTAACTTTTAATATGCACGTAAAAGTCTTAATAATTTGTTAACAAATTAAATGCAATGAAGGTACAATTAATGTCTTATTACCCGTAAATAAGTCAATATCTGCTTAATCACATTGCTTATGAATGTGACACGTCTTAACAAATAAAGTTATACCAATGAGTAACAACTAATGAAAAGATAGAGTATGAGGCTACGTGTGATTGTTAAAATTCAAATTTTCATTCATGTACATTGAAGATCCTTCTAATCTGTAAATAGTGAATCGGACGTATTGTTCTGATCTATCAAACTAGATAAACTTTGTAAAAGTCATGACATGATGCAGTCATGACAAATGAACCAAGAATTCTTCTCCAGACTATGACAAAGAATAACCTTTATTTCCTTCCGATTAATATGAGCATAGTACAAATATTGCCTATATTTTCGAACAGATTGTTTATGGCTAGATACGGATCAAAATCTGAATAGTTCATGGAGGCAACCTACAAAACAGGTCCACTAATATTCTCGCTATTCGTTTACAGCTAATCAATAATAATAGGGATGGATTCCATTCCTAAAAAAAACTTAGAATAAATACTTCTCATGAAAATACACTTTTTTGACGCAATTTATAAATGGGCATTTTTCATTTTTCAAAAAGTTGGAAAGCTATTTGGCCATTTGGGTATTGGTTGGGCATATGAAAATTCAAAATTCATGTTTTACACTCTAAGAGTGATTTTTTTGCCATTTTATAGGACAAAAGAGATATTATTTGCTTATAAACTTGTATTTCCCTTCTTATTTTAATGTTATAAAATTTTAATTGTATCTCAATAATTATTGATACACTATTTTTAAACATGATTTTTTTTCTCTACTTTTATATTATATTAATTATTTTGTTTCACATTTTAATTTGTTTATCATCATAGAAGTTATAAATAAAAATATGATTTTAGTGACGTATTGGATTATTATCAAATGTTAAAGAAGTCGAATATCATTATTTTTTCATTTTAGTTGGTTGTGAATCAGGTCATGATTTATGAATTTCTTTGAAAAATCTTATACATAGAGAATATTGAATAAACTTTTTCAAAAAATACTTTTAGGAGAAAAAAATTGAATAAAATTAAATTAAGCGACTCTATAAGATAAAACTAATTTATGTATAAATTAAAAATAAAATTTAAAGAAACTCATAAAAGAACTTTTACAAATTAACTTATACACAAATTAATTTTAATGTATGAAAAAGTTGATTTCAATTTTTTTTCTCTTTTAGAAATATTTTTAAATAAATTTACTCAAACAAATCCTTTGTAGTTTGTATAGACGATAGTCCATGAACAACATGAGCATAGTATCTTTCGGTTTTTCTACAAACATTTTGTAGTTGACCTTCACTCCTAACACTTAATGGGAATGAATCACACCATTAGATTGTTATAACTTTAAAGAGGTACTCTGCCAAAGTTATACTTTTACAAGTGTTGGGGTTGACTAAATGTGTTGCATGATTGGACTTTGGACACATTATAGACTCACATAATTTCAGATTAAATGTGTTACATGGCACGAGGATCTAGAAACTTTCTTCGAGTACTAAACTAGTTCATTTTTTGGTGACTCTTGCATTGTAAAAGCTCTTATCGTGTAAAGCCAAAAGTCATGTGAGACAAGTGGTTCAGAAATCTTAAACGTGGTTACTGATGATGTTCACATAGTAGAGAGATTACTTACATATATACCAACACATGCAAGAAATTAGCAAAGGAACAAAAAACATATTTTGCCATTGAATGGTTTGGCGTATGTTTGAACTTTGAAGATTGAAGTTTCAAGTTGGGAGTAAATGCAAATTAGAAAACACTGAAAGTAATGATGAGCCCACATGTCGAGAAATGATAAGAAATAAACTGAAGAATAATAAATGAAAAGGAAAAAGATGTCCCATTGAAGACAACTATATGAGGCACACAGAGAATGAGATATGATCCTGAGTTGCATTGTATCCCACCAAGAAGAGGGTTCCCACTTCCCACTACTCAAGAGCATCCCAACTCCTACTTCCAAGCCCTGAAGTCAAGGACGGAGCCAAGGGGGACCTACGGGTGCCACGGCCCCCCCAACAATTTTAATTTTTTTTTATATACATATATATTACTATATGGCACCCCCTATTTTTAATATAAACTCATATGTATAATTAAATGAATAACCTAAATTTATTTTTTTATTCAACTTTTGGACTTCTGGTACGGCCTGCTATGTGGTATCACTTTGGAATTTTTTTTTATTTAAAAAAATGTAGCGCCTCATTTGATCATTC